GGGGGGCGGCAGCCCCCCCGCTCTCGGGCTTTTCCGAAATGGGCATCGCCCCGGGGGCTGTCCCCGGGGGAAAGTCTTGCGCTTGAATGCTTTATATTTTGCGTCTGGAAACGAGATCCCACCAACCGGAAGCTTCCGGAAGGGTGGGGATTTGGTCTAGTGGTATGATTCTTCCTTAGGGTTGACGTCAGCACGACGTCTCAGGTACTTCCACCTAACTTGGAAGAGGTCCCGAGTTCGATTCTCGGAATCCCCCCTTTTTCTTGCGCAGGAAGCGATAGAGCCTAGAGGCCGTCAGACAATCAATGGTTTTGACGACGCTTTTCTTTTCTCTCGAGCTTCCTTTTGCCGCCTTCAACACTACTGCAAGAGCTAATTTGGACCGCCCATCTCCTCCAAGACTCGAGAAAACGGGGGGCTTCGCCCCCCGTACCCCCAAGCTGACCACCACGGGATCACCACGCCATGACCAATGGGTTACCAATCGAATCTGCACACTTCGACTCCATCAAATGATCAGATGAACTATATATAAGACTTTCCAATCGACACACTCACGAGCCCGATGTTGGTCCTTTCCTCCCAGGCTCATGTTCCGATGTTCCGATGAATCTACAAAACAATAAAAGCGTATCGGCGTCGGTTGCGGGGGGCCCACTATAGGAAAACTTCATGGGTGGTACCTTTTAACTCTTTGGCATTTTTTTACCTTTCTCGCTTCTCTGAACCTCTTCCTATAAGATACTTTGAACGCATCAGCTAAGTTACTTTCAAGCCTTCTCGAATCGCCATCAAATGAATCAAACTTAGAATGTGTAACGCCGTCATACTAATCGGTCCGGAGATTTTTTCAAAAAACATCAATTATCAATAGTGGTACCCGCTCCTTCTCAGCCAAGGAGCTCCTTGTCTTTCTGAAGTTCGGACCTTTTCTTACACTGCTGTAAGCTACTTTGAATTGCCCCACATGTTTTGAGAGTCACAGTGGCGGCCATACAACAGCTGAATAGCAGCTTCAAAGAGTCTATCAATATGTTTAGGCACGCCACAAATATACTAAGATCATTCCCGGTTGCATAAGCATCGTACTTTTTGTGATTATCTTTTAAAGTTGCACGGACCCCGCGCGGACTCGGAATCATATAAAAGCTTATAGTAGTAGCAAGCCGAACCATGTCGCAATCAATTTGAACAAGCTACGCTCATAATACTTGTAGTCTTTGCTTGAACTTGCCCGCTGCCAAACTTCCCGACTAGTCTCCGACTTCGGCCTAACAATGGCAGAGACGGTCAACAAGGGCCGTGCCCTACATGATTCGATCAACGATTCATTCAAATTGGTTGATTGGAATAGTACAATCATATGGTTGGACTTGAGCTTGCCTTACATGTTGCTTCATGTTTGGTAATGGGCCCGAACATTAAAAGGGACGGCCATGACTTCGCAACTACATTGCACTCGACACGCGCTCGGCATCATGTCAACTTTGATGTCAAGTGACATGGTGTCAGTTAGGGCGTTGCGGAACCCAGTAGTTCCTGCCCATGCAGTCCCTAGAAAAGTAACAGTCGGGCTGATTCGTGCAATCTTGCTGCATTGCAACTTGGTGAGCCGAGTCGAAGCGGCAGTCACGCTCAGCCAATTGCGGTAATCAACACGTCTGACGCTAGCACAAGAGTCTGTTAAAAAGGTAGCGCCCTTTCCACAAATAGATAAGCACGAACTAAGGTTATCTATGGCACTTGGTAACAAACTTAGACAGAATTCAGCTAGCACACCAATGCAAGACGGACACTTGAACTACTTGATCTATCAAATCGCCAAAGATTGCAAAAGAAGTCAGAAAACCGTCAGTCGGGCATAACGGTGAGTCAAGTCACCGAGTTAGTCATCTTGCCTGGGGCACACACGCCTACGGAGCTTTACAAGCAAGCAACATCTTATGAGCACCTTAGCAAAGGCCCAGGGAATCAAAGGGCAAGCTGGCACGTTCATTTCAGAACGAGCAAACTAAGATTGAGAGATGCCTCGTGGCCGGCGGGTTTCCGCAACCACCTGCAAACTTCATTTGGCTTGATGTCCTTGTGGGATTTACTTGAGTGCGAGCCGATCTAGCCGAAGTGTTCCGGATTCTGCAAAGAGGTGGAGCATATTTGACTCCGAGCTGAGCGTGAGCTGAGCATGCTGGGATGTGGCTGGGACTCTATCCAAAATAAATGAAACAGTGCTTAACATGACATAGGCAGCACGGCAGACGACAGCTTTTCGTTTGCTCAACAGCTGAACTGGAAAGTTTCAATCTACCCAATGCTGCGTCTGGGCGTTCGCA